GCAAACAAGGCATACTGGGGACAATCCGAACTAATTCCACTATGCCTGGTGTGTGGGGAAAAATTAACAATATGCTTTTTGTGACATTATTGTTTGGTGGTGTGTCGTGTGATTTTTCTAATGTGAAATAAGTGCCATGGCTCTAAAAGGTTGGGAAACACTGCTCTGGTAAACCATCTCCACATGGACTGCAACAGTGCCTGTATCTGTTGTGGAGGAGTTGCACTCCAATGCTGACAGAGTGCAGTAGTCATGGTTTGTGGCTGCATCTGATGAATGTGTCATTGCAGCATGTCTGGGACTATATGCTGGTCAGCGAAGTGTCTGGATATACTCCTGATCTAGAAAGGCCCGGGCCACTCTTGTAGTGTGGGCTCAGGCATAGTCCTGCTCAAACGACTGCAGGTTGGGGAGCTGCCACAAGAATGGCACAAATGCAGTTTAAGGCATTCTCTGGATTTCTGTTCCATCAGATATCCACCAAGAACACTGTGCTCTCATGGATATGCAAAGCTGCAGCAACAGCTCAGAGATGCTCGCAAACAGCCGGGCCTCGGTGGTAGCACTGGTGACAGTGTTGTGCATATTCTGGGCTTTTGTGCTTTGATTTCACTGGCTTAAGATTTCAGTAAACTGAACCATTTCTCAGGTGTGTAAGTGAGTTCATTCGTGTTCAGTAAACACATTCACACAATCCATTTACTAAAAGCTGAAAACTACTTTATTTATTTTAATATTTTTTTTTAAAAGAAAGCTTTTTTCTATAGATTCAAATGATGTACTTAAACATTGATTCAAAATAAAGGTTGGAAACTTATTTCACAACAAGAAACTTGTTTCTTTTTGACCATCTGTTGAAGCTCTTACTGATATGAAACCGTTACGGCTTTAGCCATAAGGCCAGATGGAGGGTTGTTTATTTACATACTGTTTCCAAATGCAGGCGTTCTCAAGTGTCCGCCGTCGCTGCTCTGCTGCAGTCTGCCGTCCGCTGTGGCCTGAATGTCGTTATTGTGTGTTGCAGTTTACTAATCTGCTTCACACACACTGAGTGACCTGCCTGCTCCCTGTTACGTGTCGGGCAGCTGGACTGTGTCTGG